TAGTGTAATCTGCACTGGGTTTCTAAACAGATATCCTGATCTCCCGCCATTAGATAATTACTGTATTTTTCAGACTATAAAACGCACCGGATTATAAGATGCACCATGATTTTGAAGTAAATTTAAAAAAAAGGTTTTTGCACTCTGCACGCCTCGTTTTTTTGGGGGGGGGGAAGGGAATGCAAAACTTTGGCAAGCTTGTAGAGTGCTCCTGGCGGCGGCAGGGGGATGGGGGGACAGCCCGTTTTTTGCTCTTTTTTGCCCTCCCAACCCTCAGGAGCACTTTGCAAGCCTCCAAAACCCTCTGCACATCCATTTTTGCAAAGGGGGCGGGGTTTCGGTGGGCCAAAAATGCACCATTTAGTGTATAAGACTCACCCAGATTTTCACCCTCTTTTTTGAGGTAAAAAGATGTGTCTTATACTCTGAAAAATACGGTAATAGTCTCATTCCAAAGAAACATCTACGCATTTGCAATTTTAATCCCTCTCTACTTTTTGCCCATCTTTTTTTTCAGGCATTCTCCACACTATTAAGAGAAAAGGTAATCAATACAGATCTTCCAACTTAATACGTTATAAAAGCATTAAAAATATATATAATGTAATATAAGCATGAGTGTGACTGTTACTAATATTGAAGTAAATTAAGCAGCCATTACTATTTACCTTGATTAGTTCTGTTGATCAAAACTGGTTTTCCAATATCAGAACTATTTTGGGTACCTTTCCTCTTTTTCTTCTTTTTTTTCCTGACTGCTGGAGGAATTGCTACACTCAGATTCTGAGAGTGGGATATAGTCTTAGGAACTGAAAACAATGTATTTATCCATCCAGTGCCAGCTTTTCTTTCTATAAATGATTTAGACATTTTTTTCTTAATCTCTAAATAACTGGTTTCCAGAAAATCATTTATTTCAGAAGGAAAGACAAATCCTTTAATATATGGCCTTTGGTGCATTTTTGCTACTTCTTGAAGCAATTCAAACAGATCCTTATATAATGTACTAAGCTTTTTTAATACTGCTCCATAAAGAATCCTAGAATAATAAAGGAAAAACACAAAGCGAGATGTAACACTTGATATTGGTTAACATAATTCCATGTTTGCTTGTTTTACTAAGATCTCCAATTTAGTATGAATTAACCAATGCTGACTCACAATAAACTTTGGCAATAAAATTAACAGTAATTAACAGTAAATGTCAAAAAGGTTTGTCACTTGAAAGAGGTGAGTAGCACCCAAGGATTTTTGAAAATGCTAGTTACTAGTAAGGATCTGAAATGCTATGAGCCTTACTTAAATAGAAAAAACATATGCACACACAAAGCAGAATTCATATTCATTAATCAAAAATAAAGAAGGATGGATGGGTAGAAGAATGAGCTATCTACTTTGGTCAGAATGTCTGGCAATTTTATTTATCTGAAACAAAGAAGACCCAGTTACCAGATAATGGAGCAATTCTGACACAGTGAGAAAGACTACAGTTCCATCTTTGGAAAAAATGAATTCCAATGGTTGGGCAGTACATATGGCCCAAACCCATCTGTATACTTCTAACATTTTATTGGAATTAAGATACAAGACCAGACATTGTTTTGTATAGAAGGAAGATCCCAAATTGAGCATTTGGAAAAAGGGATCTGCATATAAAACCCATTATATATACAGTACCCACAACCAAGTCTACACTAATAGCACCTGCCATATTTAAATTTCTTCCACTCAAAAGCAATTAAAGAAAAATAAATAAAAGTTTCTAAAAAATTATGTTCCTTTTCCCCATTCCAGCTGAAACAAAGCTCCAGAGTTTCTGAAGATGCCATTTAATCTCCTTCATCCACCACTTTTTCTGGATCCACCATAGCAATAAATGCAGTTGGAACTTTATAAATTGTACTGTGGTACAATACCCATTGGTATGCCCCCCCAAAAAAATCGAATTGGCATGAAACTGGCTAAACAAAATCTTTATTATAAATATGTAAATGAATAACTAGAAATGAAACAATAAAATATTTAAGAGGTGTACATACCATAGCCGACTCAGCAACCCCAGAATCAAAGTATTGAACAATATATACTCTTCCAAACACAGATGTTTAACAATTAAACTGAGAAACATAAGGGTTAAGGCTAAATAATATTTCCCCAAAAGCTAGAGATCCAAGTTAAACGTCTATTTTACAGTTACTCAGCTCAGTGAGGCTCAGTCCTAAGACAGTTAAGAGTAAAACATGTTCATTTTTTGTTATTTATATTTTTAATTCAATAAAAATCAAAGTCATTTATGCTAAATTATGTTGGAGAACTGCAAAAACTAAGATGAGAAAAATTATACACCACAACTAGTAATGAACAGGATAATAACAACTATAGAAATATCTTTTGGGAAGGATACCTAAATGCCGTACAACAACATTCAAGTAAACGTAGTATAAGCTTGCAACCACCCAGTATCTTCACCAGAACAACTTCTATTACAGGCTGGCTGGGCACCAAGGACTCCTCAGAATTTTCAGATTTCTGTTCTCTATTTAAAATAAATAAAGAAGAAAATGTATATATGCTCCAATGATACTCTCCTGCTTTGTGACAAACTGATATGGTAATGTTAATGACAGAGATTATGAAATACAACCTATCTGCAACTCTTTAAATCAAATGAGCTGTTACTGGATCACATGGTAGCTGCAGATGGTAGTCCCACAATTGAGCCACATTTCTGTTGCTAAGTGAGACAGTTAAGTGAGTTTTGCCCCAATTTACAATCTTTATTGCCACAAGTGCTAAGTAAATGATGCACTTGTTAAGTTAGTAACATGGCTGTAAAGTGAATCTGGCTTCCCTGTTGACTGCTTCTAAGAAGCCTGCAAAAGGTGATCACATGATCCCGGGACACTGCAACTGTCATAAATATGAACCAGTTAACAAGCACCTGAATTCTGATCACATGGGAAAGCTGCAACAGTTGGTGTGAAAAATGGTAATTAGTCACTTTTTTCCAGTGCCGTTGTAACTTTGGTCATTAAACAAAAGGTTGTAAGTTGAGAACTACCTGTATTGGCAAAATCTGCTTTAAGGAATTCCAGATGAGTGTGGTGTTTGTACTCTGTGAAGAAGCTAACCTTCCCTTGTTTGCTGGAGTTTGAAAACTCTGTGTGGACTGCCTTCCCCTTGCTTGCTGGGTATGAAGGCAGTTAGAGGCTTGCAAGCTTCAGATAGCTTGTTCTCTTTTGCTTGCTGGGTGGAAAGGAAGCTGAAGGACTATGGGGACCCCAGAGAGAAGTGGAGCACAGGGTAGAAGTAGCCTTGAGAGGTTCAGAGCAGGAAATCTGTATAGGCCATCAGGCCCCCACCCAAGGCACCCCATGCTCTATTTAACAATTCTCATTTTCATTTAATGGCTACATCAGGAAGAGTAGT